TATAACAAAACATGAAACTTGGTTCCAGAAAAATTTGACTTTTATATTGAAGTGTTGTTATATAAGAATGTAGTTATAGAGAGGTCTGATTGTATATGTGTGTGTGAGAGACTATGAATTTACCTTATATGCGTACACGAATAGATACCAGGTAACTTTGTCCACCAAGATAAAGATGGAAAGAAATCATCTAGTGTTTTTTGTCTTCGATGGGGGTTTGAACTTGAGACTTTATAGTTCTCAACCCACTTCATTGACCGCTAAACCATACCTTTGATGCCTTCCTTATTTTTAAAAATACTAATCTCATCTTTTTATGGATGTTATTACACATAATGTTATTTTAGGTAAGTTAAAAAGGTGACATGATAATTTTGTATTATATATTATTAGTGTATAAAGGTAAATTTTACGGATATGTTCATGCAATACTGCAGGGACGCAGGAATTTTGGAATAACTAGTAGAATAGCAGAATCAAATTTTCAAGAAAGGAATATGTGAAGAGAGAATATCCAGGTATATGAGGATAATCAATCGGATTACGCAACGTTTTCGTGAATCATGTTTTGACGGTATATTATCTATCTATTTCACTCAAATCTCAATCACAGTGCAAAAGGACACGTGAAGAAGATGTGGTGAGAATTAAAAAAGTGTACATTATCCTCAACAAACGCTTAAAAAAGACCGTTTTAAATAACTTTGCATTATGGATATCAAGTAAGAGTAAGACACCTCTTTAATTTCTAAAAAGAATAAAAGGACTCATAACGTAATAGCAAATTGCGTGTTTAATAGTACACCATACTCGGTTTTGATTTTTGCTTCTTCGTGGTTCAGGCAGGTCGGTATAGCTGGCTATTTGGTTTTGGTCTTTCTGGATTTCTTCCTAGGCTTTTTTTCTGGTCACCACATTTCTTTCAATCTTTATATCTTTTTATTATATTCTTTGGATATAAGGTGGTCAGTGCGTAGTACAGAAAAGAACGGAGAAAGGAAACGACGTTTGGTGGCACTCAAAGTAGGCATTTGGACATAAAAATTGTAATTTTTTTAAAAAAGTAGTATTTAGAGTTAAGTTAAAAATGATATTTGAAATTTGAAATTATGTTTCGATATGCATTTCACTTAAAAAAATATTGCAGTTTTGTGAGGGGAGAAAAAAAAATTTGAAAATTTTGAAAAAGTGATTTTTGCAAGACTCATTTAAGAAAAAATTTCAAAAACTTACAAAATTATATGGACAAACACATTTTAATTTTATTTTTTTTTAATTATTTTTTATGGACAAGCGGGGGCCTAAAGAATCTGAAATTATTTTTAACTAACTTGGAGCAGTAGACATGTTAAGTAAATCAGGATGGAAATCCGTTTACCTAAGTGGTGGAGAGGATGGAATGTTGCTCTACAAAATCTAACAATAATAAAATGGCTTAATCCCAAGTAAATTGGGTTATTTATACACATGAAACAATTTTGCTATTTGATTTAAAACTTAGTCCAATATCAATTAAAATTACAAGTTTCCTTAACATTAGAAGTTCTTTACATTTTCATGGGCATATGAGTCATTAACAAGACCAAAGAATTTAGCGAACATTGGCCCTAAAATAAAATACTAATTAAAGAATTAACATTTTGATTGTATCTAATTATTATTACCTATTGTAGACAATAAATTTGCGTCAAGAAAAAAAAATCAAGACCGAAAAATATTGCAACAATTGTAGTATTTTATTTCAAATTATATGAATGTACAATCTCTATGAATCCTCTGATTCTTCTTTCCAATAGTAAATAAAAGAGCCTTCGAGCTTAATCTTGAATTTTATTTTACTTTAATCTAAGTGTTTGAGGCCTGATCTTGATCTTGACGTATTTTTAATCCAAGGGCTTGCAGCTTGTTCTTGAATCTTCGCCTTGATCTTTTAATCCTTAGAACACTTGAATGCTTGTAGCTTTTAGAGAAATCTGCAGCGTTTGATCCACGAGCTTCATCTTGCTTCTTGTTATGAAGACTCCTATCTATAGTTGTGGGAGGAAAGAGTTATGATAAGAACAAACTCTTTCCGACCAATCAAATTGAAGTGTGACAAGGCCGCATTTGATTGACCAGAACATGTCACTCGCACACGTGGTGCAGTTTCATTGGCCCTTTAATTTGACTTGGCATGCCTTGTCATTTTTTCCACGTGGCACCAAACTGAGCCTCTAGGAAGATGACATCTTGGGCTTAATGAAATTGGCTAATCACTTTAGCCCAATTAAATGGGCTAGCCCAATGGATTAAGTCTTATTTATTTAATCCATATATGTTGGACTTATATAACTAATCCAATTATATTAGCCCAATAAATTTATTTGAACTAATATATCTTAAATATAGTCCAAACTATTTTACGGATTTAATTCCAATAAAATTTACATACCTACATCTATATAAATCTTTTTCTTCCCTTGTGCTATATTTTTTTGTTAGGTTTGCGTGGATATATTCCAAGGGAATATTGTAGGTCTCTAGAGACAGACTTTCTTCTATATTGTGATTTAATTAGTTCTACGACTTCCCCTTCTAACATCTTCAATATTTTACACATGCATCTGAAGGTCAACGTAAAAGATGACCAAATAATCTCAAAAGACCTTGTATCAATTTATCACGTATATGTGCTACTTGCATTTTTTGCTGAATCTCATTTCTCCTATTCTTGGCTCTTTTTGTATCTAATTTTCTAGCTATGCCTGCAGCCAATTGTCAATGGGCTTTTAAATTGTCCTTAGCTTGGGCTCAACTAAGTTCTCTGCACCATAACTTTTGACAGGAGCCTCTAAATATTTCTGGAAAACGCTCATTATTTTCTCTACCGTATTCATCATTCACAAATAGAAAAAGAATTGGAACTGTAAGTTAGTAACAGAACTATGTTGGGGTATTTTCATTTAGAGCCCCTAAGGTAATTCAGGTTTTGGGAAGTGGCACTGCACGTGTGTTCATTTATCAAGTGATTGGCATAAAAATTAGACTGAATACAATTTTGTAAAAAGCAGTTTTCTCAATTTTAGAAAAACAATTATCTCTTTCTTAAACTATATTATTAAATCGTTCCTCGTATGCAAGTTTTTTGAACTTAATATAAGTTATTTAAAGAACAAAGTGGTACTTTGATTAACATTTTGACCTATAAGACGTGTATCTATTACTTTCTCTAACCTCAATAGGCTAAGTTCCACTTTACAAAAAATTATCTAATGAAGAGTCATGACTCATGAGTACTCGAACTAATAAATACTCCCTATAGATGGATTTATTAACAATTGTAATTTATCAGCTTTCACCACTCACCGCACGTTGCAAAGAATAGAATAAAATGGAACAAGGACATCTACCCAAAAGAAAATAGATACCCTCTCGAACTTCCGTGGCAGTCAGATCTATAGTTTGGCGAATTCAGGATGTGAAGGTAGCATCAGCTAATCGTTCAACCAGTGTTTTTATCGGTCTTTTAATCTCAAGAGTTTTAAGAAAAATATATGATTGTTTTCAAATATATATATTTATATATTTAAAAAAATTCTAAAGTTAACGGGGTTTGGTGACCACTCTTCTCCGAACATAGGTCCGTCTCTGGTTTGACCAACCTATGACACTTAATAGCATATTTTATAAGTATATAAATTTAAAATCATAAATTGTTTCAACAAAAATTAAAAATATTTTCTTTATCAAATTTCAGAATCAAATTACACCATATAACTTGAAGGGAGATAGTGCAATAGTCTATCTTTGATATCTATGTATGTTACTTTGTTTATATCATTACAGAAGTATAATTGTCCCTTATTTTCAAGCTTTAATTTTAATTGTTTTATAATAATGGGGAAATCTGTGTTCCTTTAATATAATTAGATAGACTAATTTGTTTATTGAAGAGATTCCTAGTGAAGGCATCGCACTTTTTGCAAAGTATTGTGGACAGATGGTCCGACTGACATTTCCAACTCAACGTAACCTTACCTAAAACAAATAACGTGTCACCAACTCCTCCTTCGTGTCGGTAACGACATTCAATCTATTGCCGCCGACTTTCCTTCGCAGCAATGCTACACATCCCATTTTACTTTTCTTTTGACTTTTGTATAATACAAAGAGCATACCGTTTTATTTCATGTTAAATCATTTGTAATTTTTTCCCAATCTAGTCTAGATAAAGAAAGAGAGATTGTAATAGATTGACAGTCTAAGTTCATACTCACTTTGTTCTAATTTATGTGAAGGTATTTAGATATTGAGAGTCATACGAATTGTTTTTAATTATAATTTTTCATATACTTTTTAAATATTTTAAATTATTAATTATTGTGATTTATCGTGCTTTTTATTTAGTTTTTGAATATATAACTTATTTTGAAAAACTGAAAAACTCCATGTTCAAATGTACAGTTAAAAATAAGAATGTGAATCTCGAAAAGCAAAAATATCATATAAATTATGACAGAAGGAGTATAATTTAACTATAATTAATCATCTAAATAGTACTTTGCGTTGGTGAATTGGGTGAGATAACACAAATATTTCATCAATTGGTTCATAATTCATTCAAAGTTCAAATGTAATCGCTAACTCAAGTATGTGAATAACAACTTTTTTGTATATGTAACCGAGAAAACCTTCGAGAAATGGTGGTGCATAGTTCGAATATAATGAATAATGCGTTCATTCTTCTATTCTTCTTTATTTAAATATTAAATTTTTATTTATAATAAGATAAAAATCCGTATGCTTATTACATTTTTATTTATAACAAGATCTATCGTATATCTAATTCACTTATCAGGTGCTACACTTTTATGAAAACCTTGATTGAGATTACTCTTCTTTTGTTTCAGTCAATAAGAAAATATAATAATTTTCATTTTTTCTTATAGATGAAAACAAAAGAAGAGCAAAGGAATCGTTTTGTAATAAAGATATGAATAGAACACCATTGTAAGCACTTGTTCCGCCACCTTTTTCTCTTCACCGTCTCCTCGTATTTTTACAATTCTACACTTTCCTTTTTCGGTTTTCTCTTTTTATCATTCATCTTCTTAAACACTCTCTGAAAACCCAAATAAAAATTATTTAGACAAAACTAAACAAAAAAACAAAAATAAGAAGGCAACAAATAATCTGTTTTGAGAAACATTTCATTCTATCTCCCTTAAAACTTTAGGCATCGCCAGGTTGGGACGACACGTCAAGAATGGCGCGCCGTCTCTTCACCTGCTTCGGCAAAGGCTCTTCTCATTCTTCTTCCAAACAACACCAGACGTCTAACGACAATGCAACGGCAGATTTAACGGCGGAGGAGCAGAAACGGTGCGGGCCAGTGGTGGTGGAGTTATTCTCATCACAGGGCTGCGCCACCTCTCCTGAGGCGGAGCTGTTGTTTTCGAGGATAGGAAGAGGCGATTTTAACCTGGAGATGCCGGTGATTTTGTTGGCATATCATGTGGATTACTGGGATTATATGGGCTGGAAAGATCCATTTGGGTCTAGTTTATGGACCGTTAAACAGAAGGCTTATGTTGAGGCCCTTAATCTTGATACAATGTTTACTCCACAAATTGTGGTCCAAGGACGAGCCCAATGTGTTGCCAATGAACAAGATGCTCTCTTCTCTTGCATCAAATCTGCGCCCAGATTTCCTGCTCCTTCCTTCCAGGTTTGTTGTAGTTACCATATTGTTGATTTGAAAAAGAATTGCTTTAGATCATAAATGGGAATCATTAGTAGATTTATAATGGATAATTGAAAAATTATATAATGAATAAAATGGTGCTTTTTGGTGTTGCCAAGATCTTTATCTTTCTTCACGAGCTTATAATTAATCTTCAAATGCAAACCATGTGTATTACCTATTTGTCTTGGTTATTCCATCTCATAAAAAACAATTATAATTGATACAGAGAATTCATATATTAGATTCCTTTTAATGTGGGGTTGATTTAGTTCGTCATGATCTTGCACCAAGTTACAGTGTATTGGAAATGACAAGCTAATATGTGCAATCCTAGATTTGATCATTTGGATATCAAGAAAAAGTAACTAAATTTTTACCTCAACACATTATTCTGATAAAGATTTATTGAATTGGTTAAATTTAGGTTAACCACTGTCATTAGTCTCTTTTGACCTCAACACATTGTCTGATAAAGACTTATTGATAAGATAAAAAAGATTAGTACAATTTTATATGGACCACCGGCCTCTTATGAAAAGAGGACACATCGACTCTTGCTTTAAAACAAACTATAATAGCTTTAGTATAATAATACTTAAAAGTCAAATTCTCCCAAACAAATTGGAATAAATAGAGTAACCATTACCAATATGAGCCCAGAGCCCATAAACCAGAAGGATGGATTAATTTCTAGCTTTATCTCCAAAAACACGAGCGTCAATTGATTTGAACCGTTGATTTTGATTCAAGAAGTGTACATTTATTGGACTATCCCTTTTAAGAAAAACAATAGTTAACATGTTTGCAAGCTTACTAAAATGCTATGACAATGTTCAGATGCTTGTAGCTGTAAACGCTAACGAGATCAAGCCATAAAGGTCAAACAAGTTTGGTAAGAGAGATTCTTCTAAAGGATCATCCATTAAAATCGTTTTCTTTTCTTTCTTAGCTGGCACTAGTTTGGTTAAAAATTGTGCTTCTCTGTGTACAGTTGGAAATTCATCGCAGGACTAATAGATCAAAAAGCAGAGGCAATACTTACTCACGTCTTTCCCTCCCGAGTTCTTTATAGAAATCTAGCACTCTAGCTTTGATATCTTTGCAAGGAAATTAGATTTTCTATTGCTCTGGTGGTGAGCATCCTCCACTTCCAACTAAGAGATTGTGAGTTCGAGTCACCCCAAGAGCAAGATGAGGAATTTTTGGAGGGAGGGAGCCGAATTTCTATCGAAAACAGCCTCTCTACCCAGGGTAGGGGTAAGGTCTGCGTACACACTGTTGCGGAAGCCAAATGTATATAGCGTGAATGAGTCACAACTACTATACCAAAAATTATGAC